ACACGAGTCAACAACATATTTCATAATGACGAATGTCACGCATGGTATCTATGCCAAGCAACGCTTCAAGGTTTTCAAGGACAGAAGAAAATACATACGAAATTGCTCGGGCTGTTAAATGCAAACATTCATTTGCATTTTAAATGTATCGCGCCTATGGCCGAGAAGGACAGATGAATGGAGGTTGATGGTAATTGGACCAGAGCGTACGAAAACAGCTTTCGCATCCGAAGACACCGCGAGTACCCTGTACAGATGCGCACTATCAGGTTTCACCCTTAGCTCAATAAAATATCGAGCATCCATGCAAGGCTATAGAATCAGTAAGCTCTAGATCCATTGCTTTTCAGGAGCAAAGTGGTCCAATTACCTCCCAATCCAGCTTAAGTGTGGTATTGGGGCTTTACCACGCACTCAGCTGCTGGGGCTGCATGGTGTAGCCCGTCACTCAGTCTGGCGGGAAGGGCGGGAACCACGGGAAATTTAACCCCTGTCTGGGGTTTTCCAGACGCGGAGCCTAACCACTGCACTATTGGCAGCACAATGCGGTTTAAGCCTTAGGTACTGGACTGAAGACACTGACTACACTCGGCCAATCTTGGGGAATGCCGCCCGATGGTATTGTGGGTAAGCCTTAGCCCTGTTGTCTTTTGAGAAGAGTATTGCTAGCAAATGTGACCGAACTTAATCATGAAGAAAAAGGTCGGTCCTTATCAATGCGAACGTGTGCAAAGAATCTTCTTCCTTTGCGAGGAGGTTGTTGCGCCTGTCTTTGCAAGGAGGATGGACTGCGCCTAATTCTCCGATGGCAAACGGGGAGATGTTCCCCGCCAGTGGTTCCAACCGGGTGAGAGCCGTTCGCTCCAGTGGCGTCGCGTAGATGAGGTATGGTCCATTCTCTTTACTTATGGTGAACGCTGTTTATGCTCAATTCGAGCGTGATAGATGTAGATTGAGGTGGTATACCCGAATTCAGAAAGCGTTAGGTATCTAGGAACTTGCAAAATAGTAAGGGCAGATTCAGAGCACGTCGTGGGGAAGGTGGAGGGGTACAACCCCGGCCGACGTGTGGGGTGAAATTTCAAAGCGTCTTGATTTCATAAACTCATTGAATTTTGCTTTGCTCTACCTCAAGGAGTGCTCTCAAATAAACTGCCTATTAAGGAGGGCTCCTGAGATGTTCATAAAAGCTCAGGAATGTGTCATTTCTGTCAAACTTTGGGTCACCTCGCGGGAGCGTGTTCCAGCTGCCACCCCGCCCCTGGATCCGCTCTTGTAAAGCAGAGCACTTTGCGTAACAGAGGAGGCGACCTTGCGTATCACGTTGCGTGACAGAGCCAATCCTAGCGAGGGCCAGGTCGCTGTCAGAGCCCTAGAGCTCCTCCAGGCTGTTTTCGAAGGTGGCGCAGGTCGAAGCAGCTGGTCATTCGCATGCAAGGTGGAAGGAGTCAGAAAATTGCTTCAAAATTCCACCGACCGAACATTGCATCAAGACCAGCTGCAGGCTCCCTCACAGTCGATCAAGCTCTACCGCCAGTGCTGTGGCATCCTGACCAAAAGACGCGGTGTTGTGACGCTTTGAAATATCACTAGGTCACGCGACGTGTAGGTGAGGCGAAAGGACACGGATCTGCTGCAGATCGCTGGGCGCGAATCGAAGGTATAGCTGACATTGCACGTGATCCTGTTATCGCTCGTAATGTTTGATATCGCACGCGCTTCTTATATTGTGCCATCGCACTGGTCCAGGTACTGTCAACGTACTTATAACAAGGTAAAAACTGAAGCAGGGCAAAGAAAGCAAAGCAAGCAGGACACAGACCAAAGCGTGGGGACTGCTGTGGTTGAAACCCGATGTCCCTACCGATTCCAGTGGCTTGTTACCAAGCTGTACTGATAACAGTTTATAAGGCGTGTTGGAATTCCAGACATCAGTGCAGAATAGCGCTGCATAACTTGTGGTGTGACATTGCTGTGCCCAAGTCGCCCAAATTGATAAAATGAAGACCATCAACAAAATGGAGACTTCAACGTAAAAAGACTACGAACTTCGAATACTTTCTGGGAAGGTATTACGCTTGCTCTGCACATGTCGCTTGTGTATCTAAGAATGCTGTGACTGGTCATGTAATTCATCAAGCCACCTGAAACCGGTGATTTTGAAGAATTTGTCTGGAGCGAGTGTCAGGTGGTATGTCCTTTGGTGTTCTTCAATTGAAAATCAAGATATCCTTAAGCTGAGATCAACACAATACACAATGCTGCGGTTGCAGCGCTTTGAGAAGGAACATTGTGGCACAATTGGACAACAAGGACATTTAAAGCATCATGAAAATGGTATAACACGTGCACCACTGTGCACCATGTGCCGAGAGGCCCCTCCAGCGGGCCTCTCGGCCCACTCGTGGCTGGCCCATGCACCCTACCCCGCACGAGCGGGGCGTCGCGAGGATGCGGGATGGCGCAAGAAAGATGATGAGAGGGTCAGATGTCCAGTCACGATTTCATTTTACGTTCTGTTTGCTTTGAGTCGCTTTGGCCCGTTCGGACCATTTGCGCCTGGACCATGCTATTTCAAATAAACAGGATGAGAACGTAAGTGAAGACAACCGAGAATAAGACGCTCGTTACGAGCTTGTACATTGCTTGGGGTGGTTTGGTTATTCTCAGGAAGTTGAAACGTGGGTCGGGCAAATGAGCTCACTGATCGCCAAGAGTGACTTCCGAAGAGAATTTGACGTTGTGTAGACGGCAACGAACCTTCATAGTTTCGCGTGGTTCCTGAAATTTGGTGCCTTCAATGATATGTTTAACCAAGGGTGGACGATCGTACTATTACCAGTTAGTATTGCAGCTAACGGACACTGATGTTTTGTACAGCATAGTACAAGACGTTTTGCATTCTTTCTGGTCGTTAAGGAAATAGACTTGTAATCAAATAGCTCAAGAATAGTGCTATTACCGAGCATATTAATACAAATGGACAATAGTTATTAAACACAATAGTTATTAAACTAACGGATGAATATGCAAAAACACGAAGAGAAAGGGCTAAAATACGAGCACATGGGGATATCTGACTTTATGAACACTTCCAGCCCGCGCTGCCGTCTCACGGGAGATTGAAGAATTACAAGTGGGCGCTCTGATACAAAAGCTCCATGACGCAATCCAACAACGACATACGAAGGGGCGTATTTACTAGAGAAATTGCGCTGTATAGGACAATCTTTTTCATTAAAAAAATGCACCAACGGTGATGAGTGGGCTTGTTTCATCATCATATGTGATGTTTGCTTAAATATCCTCAAAGGTGGAACATTCCCCCTAAACTAGACCAATTAGGAACAGAAGCTTTGAATAATTTAGCAGGTGGAGTTTGATTGTTGTGAATGCTGCAAACGTGGCAAGAATGCATTTGCACCGCAGTACTGCCGAATTGCACCTGCAGCATAAGTGGGGATCATGAAGGAATGATACAGCAGCTGATTGAGACAGTGTCAGAATATTTCACTTGCGAATGACTTCCTAGGTTCGTAGGGGATTATCTTCATAATTTTCATCGAAACGGAACTATTTTACGCAGTCATTTTAGACTTTGGCAGAGGCGAGACAGTGGTCAGGGAGCATATCAAAACCTTGGCTGTGCAGTACAGTGTAAGTTTAGAACCGGTGTTGATGTCAAATCGCTGCACAGTCTGCCTGGCAGCAGCAGCAGCCCGTCAGAAATGCTTACCTGTGACTGGCAGCAGCCGGTCAGAAATGATCACCTGTAGCTGGTAGCAGCCGGTCAGAAATGCTCAGCTGTCACTGGCAGCAGCCGGTTAGAAATGCCCAGTCGTGACTGGCAGCAACCGGTCAGAAATACCCAACTGTGACTGGCAGCAGCCGATCAGAAATGCTCAGCTGTGGCTGGCAGCAGCCGGTCAGAAATGCTCAGCTGTGGCTGGCAGCAGCCGGTCAGAAATGCTCAGTTGGGCATGCGCACACTGGTATAGGCCAAGTTCTTCGGTCATAAGCCATCGCGGAATGTCCATTACATGCATTAAGCCTAACATACTGATGGCCGTTGCTCGCATTTATCACGATCTGAGACACGATCATGTTGACCACTTTCACTTTCCACCCAAGTAGAACCTCAGATACTGAACGGTGTCAACCGTGACATTGCCCGACGATGTAACAGCTGTTGTCCTGTGCGCATGACTTAGCTGGTGTATTCAAATGACATCATCAGTGACTGTGTCTCGGCTCTCTCGGACCCACGTCTGACTGTTTGGTTACGCCGTTAGACTGCGCTGATCCGTACAGGACTGCCGGCTGTGACTGCGTCTCGGCCCTCTCGCAGCCACGCCTGACTGTCTCGTTACACCGTTGGACTGCACTGATCCGTACAGGACTGCCGGCTGTGACTGGGCCTGGGCCCTCTCGAAGCCACGTCTGACTGTTTCGTTATACCGTTGCACTGCACTGATGCGTACAGGACTACCGGCTGCTCTAACAACAGACACGCCCACGCTCATGGGCACCCTAGTTTGCAAGCATCCGTCTTGTTTTAATCGAAATTCGAAGCGAGAACGTCGCGGCCTGCATTTGGTGTTCCGTTAGTGATTCGGTCAGATGTTACTCAGTGTCACGACCATACGCCTCGTTTTGTGTCACCCTATCGTAAATGCGTACCTTATATTACAGCAAGTACTTCCAGTTTTGTTCAGACAGAGGGAGAGGACACCACTCCAGTAACTTCATACTTGTTGCGAGCACGATGCGTCAGAGTGCGTCTGACTGTAAAGACCACGCGTTCTGCCTGTCATTTCATCACATCCAAATTAATTCTTAAATTGACCTCTGCACAACGCTGGTGTCACATACTGCGTCCAATTGTACCCCTCCCTCACCCCAGCACCCCATCCCCCCGCCGCCAGCGCTGCCGCTGCCGTGTACAGAAGCCACAATGGCCGGTTGGACTGGACTAACGGACGCTCAGAGCGGCGGGAGTTTCGGGCGCCGCCAGTGCAGCCAACGAAGTGCTCCGCGACGCATGTACCGCACACCGGCGGCGCCGGACTGCGAGCTACAGACCACGGCGGCATCGGACTGCGAGCTACAGACCACGGCGGCATCGGACTGCGAGCTGCAGACCATCAGATACCGGACTGTGAGCTAAAGACCGCGGCGGCACCGGACTGCGAGCTACAGGCCACGGCGGCATCGGACTTCAAGCTACAGACCACGGCGGCATCGGACTGCGAGCTGCAAACCACGGCGGTATCGGACTGCGAGCTACAAACCACGCAGGCGCCGGGCTGTGGATTACAGACCACAGAGGCATCGGGCTTTGAGCCATAGACCACGGAGGCATCGAACTACGAGCTACAGCCATCAGGCATCGGACTGTGAGCTAAAGACCACGGAGGCATCGGGCTGTGAGCCACAGGCCACCGTTAATATCGGCTGTAAGCTACAGACCACCGTCAATATCGGCTGTGAACTATGGGTCATCGGGTCAAACCCTGAACTGCGGGCCACCGGGACAGCCGAAGCACTTAACTACATTTGGATATTGTGCTGTGAGCCGCCACACCGGCCCGCTGGCTCAACCGCTAGCGCTGGGCGTCGTGCTATCGAGCAGTGACCTATGCCATTCTAAGATCGGCCCGGTACGTGCTGCATTTCGGCGTGAAATGTTAGACAGCCGAAAAAGCTTCATTTCAAAGCGGACTTAACGCTGCGGACCGTCGCTAAGAACCGAGATAGCCATCGGCACCGTACAATGTGTCTGCATCAGCTAGCGGATGCGGCATAACGTACACAATCCAATCCGCTGGGTCAGTACGTATCCACCCTGCAATCGGCTGGGTCATTGCGTCTCCACCCTGCAATCGGCTGGGTCAGTGCGCCCCCATCCTGCAATCGACTGGGCCAGTGCGTCTCCACCCTGCGATACGCTGGGTCAGTGCGTCGCCAACCACCCATCCGCCGCTCCAGAGCGGGCCAGCTGCCCCTGACCGGGGGCGTTTGCTGCGGACCTCGCCGTGCGCCCCGGACACCCGACCGCAACACAGGAGCCCACGTCCGGGACGATGCATATCTCCGTGAGCAGGCTGCTGGCTGCGGCCGTCTGCCTCGGCTGCTGCGGTGAGTGGGTGATTGGTAGGCGCCTCTGGTGATCAGGCAGGGGCGCCGGCTAATACCCGTAGCGCGTCGCCACACCCACTGGCACCCGGACACTGCTGCGTCCCGGTGTCTGCCCCACGCGTCATCCGGTCGCTTGCCGTTCGGCTGCGCTCCTCCTTGTCAGCGTCTGCTGCCGTTTTTCGTGTTGCTTGTGTCTTCAATGGTGTCTCTGCCCGTTGTAGCAATACCTGTGTCTATGTCTGTCGTGACGTGTTTTGTGGATGTCGTAATGGCTGAGCGCGCGCGCGCGCGCGCGCGCGTGTGTGTGTGTGTGTGTGTGTGTGTGTGTGTGTGTGTGTGTGTGTGTGTGTGTGTGTGTGTGTGTGTGTGTGTGTGTGTGTGTGTGTGTTTGTGCGTATGTCATGCCATGTCAATGTGGTATCTGAGTAGCCTGTCTTCATACCTTCCCACGTGTATGTGTCCGTATGTCCACTGCTCGTGCGTATTGTCCAGTGTTTGTGTGCTTTTGTGCCTGTCGTTTTTGTGCTGGCGTATGTTCCGCCGTGTTTTTTATGTGGAAGCGTCCACGCCCAGGCCCGCCCCGTGGTCTGCTTGTCAGGCTGACAGTGTCTGTGTCTGTCGTGTCGTCTGCTTGTCAGGCGATGTGTGTCCGGGTGTGTGGTGTGCCGGCGCCGTGGACGGTTCCCAGAAGTCGTCTGCCCGCCGTCTGTGCTTGTGACGGGCGGCACCATATATCGCTGGCTGCAGTCCCGTTCGATGCATTATAATTGCCGCGTCACCCCTGCCCTTTAGGCAGTGCTCGCCAATCCTCTTGTGTCGTTCGATGTACTTCGTAAATACGTCCACTCGGTCGCGGATGTCTGTCGCCGCTGTTCTGCTTGAATTTCGGACGGTGGGTGAAGAAGGCAAACGTTTTTTTTAGGATTATGATTTATCTAATGCGTTTTGGTACCTTAGTAGTTAGTACTTGGAAACCATTCGCGGTGGGATAATATTTTCCAGGATAATGTGCGGATTCTTTGCCAGACCTGGGATGAGAACTATTGATATATTTTCTACCGTGATTTGAATATAACAGTTCAAGTTCGACACATTGCCACTGCGCGTTTTGATAAATACGTCTTAAATGCATGAGAATACCTTAGATTCAAATAGTTAGTGATGCGTTGTACTTTACACCGACAAAAGATATTGTTACCTTCTGAAAATTTCTCAGTATTTTTTGTTTATTACCAGGAAGTATTTTACGATATTTCTCACTCCGCTATGTTTCGTGCTTTGAGCCCTGCTTTCCAGCTCCGTATCCTATTTTGATGTGCAAAAGATGCAACTTAGATGGCTGTAAATTCCAATGCCTTTAAGTACAGTCGGCTTCAAAGAGATTATTGTTCGATTCAGAGACAAGAAATGGTGCGGCAAGCCCTTCTCATGTTGTTTTACGTATGCCGATAGTTGTCAACGTGGCACCACGTGTTGATGTACTACGGCAATTGCGAATGGTTCGAATATACATTCGCATGGCCCCTCCATGGCTCATGGCCCCTCCTCGGCTGCCTATCTGCCTGTCTCGTTAGACCTCAGCGGCCGACGGCTCGACATTGCTTTTTGTTGAGACCCGTTGCATCAAGGTTATTTGTTTGCCCCATGCATACACGCCAGTATGCCATATTCATCGCGCCGTCTGCGCCACGCATTTTGTCCGCTAAATATACGTCAATCTAGTGCTTACCCTCTACAGAAAAGGTATTTGCTCTGGATTACTCTGGATCTTGGTGCTGTGATGGTCTCCTTACGTGACGCCAGTCATGAAATTCTTGCGGTTTGTAGCGCTTGCACGCAGACCAAAATCGAACGTAAGTACAGTAAAATTTGTTTTAAAGAGATTCAGCGCAATCAAATTGGGCACGCATTTTCAGCCTGTGCCATGTTGACCTCGCGTCAACATACGCAGACAGTGCCCATTCCGCTACATAATCGTCCAACATAGTCAAACAAAGTCATTGAGTACGCATCGGACCTGTATCTGGACCGCAGGCTGTGTTCCAATTGCACGTCAGTGGAGGCCACTGTCGGCCGGGTGGCCGGGTGACCGGATGCCAGCCGGGTGGCCGTGTCAGCCGGGTGGTCGTCAGCCGAGTGGCCGGGTGACCGGATGCCAGCCGGGTGGCCGTGTCAGCCGGGTGGCCGTGTCAGCCGGGTGGCCGGGTGCCCAGCCGGGTGGCCGGCGCCGTGATCCGCAAGGCAGGAGCATCACCATGTCAGCGCCCTCCCAATCCCCGTCCTCGACTTGATCCAGTTAATGTCCCGCTGCTGATGCAGACGGAAGGCGGGCACGGCGCCGGCGAGCCCACGCTTCTCGGAACCAGTGAGCGAAGATTAGCTGCAGGACACGGGGAGCGTCACCGCGCACGCGGCTGATGCGCCTCGCCGCGCGTCCGGCTCGCCGCGCCCCCACCGCCGAGCAGGGGGAGCTTGCGCCACGGGCCGGTTGATTGCATGGTGTTCGCTGGTATGGGAAGCGTATTCACCAGAGGCCCCATCGGGTATTGCTGAAGCAGTATGCGTGCTGTGAATTGAGGTGGTTGTGGCGATTGATTTTCTATAGACGTGGTGCTCATTACTCAAGGTACTCGCATACAGTTTGTAGGTGCATACACATACGTATATTCAGCCCGACTTGTGACGCAGCACCTGCCTGCATAACCTGTAACACTGCATCTGGGTTAAATGTTGCAGGCTAATCCTAACGGCTTCTGCTGGACCTGCACGGCCTTGTGCTGCACGGGCACATCGCCCAGGGAGATGCTTGCGGGTTAGCTAGAATTCGGGATGTCATAATAGAAATGCTAAGTTCCTTGAACCTTGAGGCTTAATGGCACAGGCTCTGGAAATCGGCTTAGTGACTTGGAAAGCAGGTTTCGTGTTTTTTTTCTCTCCCTTTGGTGTGTATGAATGAATAATAGCTTCCAAGCCCTGCGCGTGTGGGCGACGGAATGCTGACAAACTACAAGTGGAAATCTGGGTGTCCGGAACGCGGACGTTGCCAGCCCACGTTCACTTTCAAAGGAAAAAAAACATACCAGGAGTTCTACTCACATTCAAGGGTATAGATAGGCGATGCAGTACATTAATACATTAAGTACCTTAAAAGCTGAAGCGAAAATGTGGACAACCATGCGGCGGGATCGCATGAGCATGGATACTTTTAAGATAATGGGATGTGTCACATTATTTATATTTATTCACATTTTTTCCACGTCGGAGTGACAGTCGTAGTACACGTCGTACACATCAGTCTGTTCAAGGTGACTAGCGCCACCTTTGACTAACACAAACAGCTTTACCCTGCACGCGCAGGACAATTTTTATTTCAAAACATGCACGAGACAAGCTATCACCGTGCCTTACGCTTGTGTTGATGATTACGTTTACGTTTACTGCCATTAGAACCAAGCAGCATCTAGCCCGATTCCTGAAATCGGTGAGTTGAACGACCTAGCCGTCATGCGATTGATTGCACTCACATAATCGGATGGATCCGTTCACGCATGCAAATATGTCCCGTTACCGACATGTACAAAATTACAGCTTAGGCAAAGTATGTGCGTAAGAACTAACACAAAACCGCAAGAAGACATTCGCGTGTCTTGAGAGCTTACCGGCATGTCTTTATGGTAGAAAGGTACGGAAGAAAAGTGGGCGGTCCTGGCTGATGCTGCACTGCAGAGTGTGACCGCACAGCGGAACATCTTCTTTGCGTAACGTTGAATTGTGTTCGCCATGGCAGGAGGGATAGCTCAGAGGTCAAGGGCATGAGCTGGTCGCACCGGTACGTTTACAGGGATATATGCATCTGATTTGGGGTGTCGGATCGAGAGTCATGTTGGTCTCGTTGAGGGGGTCAGGATTTAATTGAGCAGATGCTGAAGTGAAACAACATCGCGTCGTTAGTGAAGCTCACATGAGGCTCATCTGACGTCGGAGCCAGCTACGGTGAAAACTTCTGTATCGACTTTGGGCACAAATGACCGTTGAATCGTTTAAACACCGTCGAAAAACGGAAGTGGAAAGTCTTTCTCGCCGCCCAGGTAATGCTTCGAAGTGATAGTATCGAACTGACATTGCATTATTAAAATGACATTGTATTATCAAACTGACATTGCATTATCGAACTCACGTTGCATAATCGACCTGCCAATGCATAATCGAATTGACATTATATTATCGGAATTACGTCGTATTATAGGACTGACGTGTGCAACGTGCAGTTCAGGGACGTACCTTGTTTGTGGCCTTGCGGCCCAGACGAAGTCTGCGTGGTCAGCGAGGGAGCCGCACGATCCGTTCCACAAGTCTCAGTCATCGATTATTTTGCATGATTTTTTACAATGAATTCCACACCAGCTCTGAAAACCGATTCCCCTTCCAGTAGATGGCCCGGGTCACGGGCTTCTTCATAGCGCTCAGCACTGTCTGACGAGCATGTAACTGTGCCGGCCGATTTGTGCCAGGCTTATCTAAATAAAACAAATTCAGAGTAACGCATCTGCGCGCGCACCTACGTAGCTGCGCGTACATACTCTAGCATGTAAGAGGCTAGCGAACCGCCGCGAGTTGGCAGATGATGCATCTGCAAGTGGCGATTTGCTCAGAGAGCCAACCTCGACTCCTGGCTGAAACTGCAGCCGTGGCTGGCCCAAGGCAGCCAGACCTACGAGTGAATGCAGGCAAGCTTCACATCCATGGGATAACGTACACAGAACGCCACTTTCTGTCGTCGCACAAGCCTTCGGGGAATACATGCCGCTGGCAACTGCGTTTTAACTGCGTCGTCAGTGCCGCGTGCAGCGTTCTGTACGTTCCAGTCGTTCGTAGATCACGATCGCCACATGCCTTGGTCTGATTCACGTATGGGTAATTCATAAGCGAGCTGCCGCGGGCGGAACGGACGACGGAAAGCCCCAACATTAAACCCGCAAGCGCATGGTTCGGCTTTGAAA